TCCCACTCTTTTGACTCCACGCATGGCAACGACGACTCTTCTGCAACCGTGCCAAACAACCTAGACATTGTAATCGACGGCCGCGAAGCATCAGCACTTTTGAAGATTGGGGCAGACAACTCAGACCTGAATGGGAGGCTCTTTCGATGCAGAAGGCTATGACGCACGACGGTGGACCACAAAGTCGAACCGCCGGAGGACACCTTTTTAAACCCGTCGGAAAGTGCACTGCCCTAGCCGAGATCCATGGCGAGACGTACCCTGTAAATTTCTCGTTCCACAAGACTCTGCCAGAGATGTCATTTTTGGCATGGACTTACTGTGTTAATACCGCGCCGTCATGGGACATGAACAGAATAAATTGATGCTGCGGACACTGGTTTCGCCTCCAGAGAAACTCCAAACCCTGAGTCCTAGTCGCTGCCAACCACGTGAACATTCTGCCGCAATCAAGTGTTGTTGTACCCGTCGTAACCGATGCAGCTACCTGCGGCGAAGTTCTAAGGGAAGACAACCTTCAATTGCTCCTGAGAAAAGGTATCGGCGTCGCAAGAGGAGTAGCTGAACTTTAAAATGGGCGCACTGGGGTCGTCGTGATGAACTTCCGACAAGAAACGCAACAGCTCACGAAAGAGCAGCTATCGGTCACGTCGAGGAGCTCCGAAGCTCCGCCGAAATTGGCGCAATTACAGAAGAATCCTCGCCACTTCAGCAAGACTGTACACCACCAGCGCTGCCCGGCAATGACCCTAAGCTTCCAGGTCCGAAACGACGGCAGCGTATTAACCTCCTCTCCGAATAGAGCCACTGCTTTACGACGTCGGTGAAGGGACGCCACACCGCCGCTGCTAACCACCGCATCGTTGCCAAGGACGACGTGCTTCCTGTGTATTGATCGCCGTACCGCGTCTGCGCAAAAAAAAGAGAGGTCATCCAGGAGCAACTTTATGAGATGCTGAACGACGACCTAATCAAGCATTCAAGCAGTCCGTGGGCCACTCCAGTCGTACTAGTTAAGAAGAAGGACGGAAAGCTTAGGTTCTGCGTGGTCTAGCGGAAACTGAAGGCAGCGACGAACAAAAAGATGGTACCCACTCCACCGCATCGACGACACGGTAGACCGGCTACGTCACTTTCAATACTTTTTATCGATGAACCTGAAGAGCAGCTATTGGCAGATCGAAGTGGAAGAACGGGACTGAGAGAAGACAGCTTTCTTCAGGGCGGATGGACTGTACGAGTTCAAGCTCTTCCGCTGGCTGGCAAGTTGCTGGCGCCGTGCATAGCCCTTCGGACTACGCACGGCGCCAGAAGCGTTTTAGCGTGTCATGGACACCGTACTGGCAGAACTGAATTGGCAGAGCTGCCTTGTCTAGCTGAACGATGTCGAAGTGTTTTCCGGCGACTACGAGAAGCACTTACGACGACTCCGAGCTATTCTCCAAGCCATACGTACCGCCGGAGTCTTCCTCAATCCGTCGAAGTCTCGGTTCGCCTATGACGAACTGAAATTCCTAAGTCGCGTGTTTAGTAACGAAGGCGTTTGCCCAGACCCAGAGAAGACTCGCGCCGTCGCAGAATTTACAGCGCCCGAAGACGAGAAGGCTGTGCAAAGATTCTTTGGACCATGTGCCTACGCTTAGCGCTTCGTTCAAGGTTCGCAAGGATTTACGCACCGCTCACAAACCTCAGGATGGGCGCCGAGAAGTTCATTTGGGTCGAGGGGCAGCAGCAGGCACTCGACGAGCTGAAGCGAAGGCTCCAGACTCATCCTGTTTTTCGACACTTCGATCAGGATGCGGAAACCGAGATTCACACGGACGCTAGAAACGCAGGACTTGAAGCGATACTGGTTGAAGTGCAAGGAGGCACCGAGTGAGTCATTGCCTGCATAAGTCGGACACTGTCCAAGGCGGAGATAATTTACTCCACGACTGAAGAAGAATGTCTTGCGGTCGTCTGGTTAATCACGAAGTTTCGTAGGTACTTGTACGGGAGCCCGTTCCGCGTAGTCAAGGACCACCAGTTGCTCTGCTGGCTTGCGAACTTCAAGGACGACCCGTCAGGATGCCTCGCTGGATGGGATCTCATATTACAAGAGGTCAACATGACTGGCCTACAAGTGAGGTCGCAATCACGACGATCGCGACTGCCTGTCAAGAGCCCCGTCGAAACGCCTTCCAGTAGCAGCGACGAGGATGACAACGAGTGCGTCATAGGCGCAGTGAATACCGATGACATGGCACGACGTCAACGAGACGGTCCTGAAAGGAGCGCACTAATAGAGCATATAGAAGGGCAAGGGAGTACCATGCCACGCAGTTTCTCATGAGCCGTGTCGACATTCGCATTTGAAAAAGTGTACTCTACAAGGAGAACTTCGGGGACAACAACCCGGCGTGGATGCTGGTAATCTCTACCGATCTTCGAGAGAATATCTTTCAAGCCTGCCACGACGACCCGAAGTCCGGACACCTCGGTTGCAGCCGGGTACTGGCCCGTAGTTGTGAAAAGTATTACTGCCCCACGCTTCCTAAAACCGTCTACATCTACACACGATTATGGTACGAGTGCTAGCGACGCAGGAAACCGCCGACGAAGCCGGCTGATCTGCTGCAGTCAATTCCTCCGACAACTGCACCACTCCAGCAGATCCGAGTGAATCTACTTGGTTGTTTTCTGCAGTCAATCCTGGGAAACCGTTGGATAATCGTAATCATTGATTATCTAACACGATACGCCGAGACAAAAGCCCTTCTGTCGGGGTCTGCTGTGGAACTCGCCAAGTTTTTCGTCGAGTCCGTCGTTTTACGACATTGCGCCCTCAAGTCCTTATTACAGTTCGGGGATCATCACTCATGCTGCAGCTGACGCAAGAAATTCTTCACCTCAGCCGGACTTGCCATCGTCGCACCACGGCCTACCACCCGCAGAACAACAAGCTGACGGAGCGGCTTAACAAACTGTCACATGATCTTCTCGTACATCGACATAGAGCGCAAGACGTGAGAGAATGTGTTGCCCTACGTCACGTTCGCCTACAACGCTCCGCTTCAAGAGACCAGCGGAGGTATACATTTACAGCTGGTACATGGTCGGAAATTAACAACAATGTTGTGCGCTTTGCTGCCCCACGAGTCAACTAACGATGGGAGCGACGACGCTCAGGTGGTAGCGCAACGGGCCGAAGGAGTCTGCCAGCTCGCCCTGCTCCGGATTTAAAACCAGCAACGCTACAACCTTCGTCGTCGTGACGTCCACTTTAAGCGCGGAGACGAGGTGTGGGTGTGGGCACGTATTCGGCCGCCGCGGTCTCAACACGAAGCTGTTCAAACGCTACTTCGTACCCTACAAAGTGCTTCGCCGCTTCGGGGATCTAAACTACGTGTTGATGCCGGACAGAACATTGACTACATCATGCCGTTCTGCGGGACCGGGAGCCGTCCATGTCGTGCGTCTCAAACCGTACTACAGTCAATAGGACTTTGAATTGCATTCTTGTACTACGCTCGATAGGGCCGTGTTTTACAAGCTTCCGTAGTGCCCCACTACTTTTTTTTTTTTGTTTTGCTGTTTTGTTTTCTGGCAAGTTGCATCGAGACGATGCGCTTTTAAAAGGGGGTAGTAATGCCACACTCGCCGCCGAACGAGCGCGTACGTGGCCGAATGGTTACCGCGCTTGGCTATCGCTCGGAGGCTCCAGATTCGATTACAGGGAGCGGATTTCACTTTTATTTATTCTTTCAACTTGACATTCTCGTAAGTTCAAGAGCCTCGTCATCTTATAGAGTTACGAATGTTCTACGCGCTTAACGTTCTGCGCCGAATGTTCCAGAACCCCACGCTGGTACAAAAGATGCTCTGCGTGGCGGTCCGGAGTCAGTGTCACTACTGCGATCGTTTGTGCTACTCCGCCGACCTTCGATATCTGTGACGCTACTTCTTTGTATGTTTTGTTTTCGGCACAAGTTCGCCAAATTAAATGTTTGATTTCTGTACATTTGTCACCTCGTCATCAGTTATTCGTGATAATATGAGCCATACAGAAGGCTAATAAGAGCAAGCCTTGAGATACAGATTTTATTGTGGCTAAGCAATGAGGATTCATTAGGCCCTTGTTAAGCTGGCTCAGTCATACCTTTTAAATTAAGCTATATATAAATAAAACCAAACACAATTAAAAAAGGGATTTGGTAAAGTGGTTAGATGGGCGAGTTGGTAATTATTGCACATGGTTAAAATTGCGAACAAATAGAAAGGAACAGTGAAGAGGGAAGAGAAAGGAACAAGTACTTGTCTCTTCTTTCTTCCCTATTTACAGTTGCTTTCTATTTTTGCGCAATTTTAACCATGTTCAAAAAGGATTTGTTTGAGTACATTATGCAGATTAAACGTTCAAAACACAGATGTTTCAAAACTTGAAGAAACATAACTACATGAATACCGCTTGGAAAGCGGGTGAAAAGGGAACATTTCCCAAAAGACTAACTATGCGATTTTATGAAACTTCGGCTGTACTATAACTATGAGTGTCTTTTCTAATAGACGTATATAAGAATGATTGTACACTACGAAATACAGAATTTACGGGTGTCCCTCTGCTATGTCTGAAGTATAAAGCTTTTGCAATAAGGTTCAGGCAAAACTGACTTCAAACATTGAGAAGTAGGGATTATTGAGCAGTGAAGCTCGTGAGTGAACATACTGGAAAGATATGGAAACGAGGAGACGCCAAAAATGGAAAAAAAATCAAAATATGATTTGGTGCTTGTTACACTTTTTGCGTCCCCTCGTCGCCAGGGTTTTTCAGTCTGTTCCAACTTCCAATATGTCTTGTTTTACATCTTCCCGTTTGTGAAAAACTTCAGTCGTACGATAAACAAAACTGAATAAACTTTTGCAAACGCAACGGAGAATTTCGTGTCATTACAGTGCTTGTTATAGTGACATGTGGAATTATCTATGAGGATCTCGTTTCACTCCAACAAACATTGACTCACCGATACTTGGCAGGGCTGTGGGGGTCATATTGTATATCATATCGCAGCCTTTCTGCACTAATATTTTCGCACCGGACCTAAAAAAAGACAAAAAATATAGACGTTTGCAAATCTTTTTAACGCCGTATTAAAGCTCAGCTTTTGAGGAAAAGGAGGGAAGGGTTCGGAAGGGAGTGTGTGCACCTCCTCCTCCCCCTCCGTACCTCCCCTCTTCCTGGCCTTCAGACCTCTTAGTTAGCGGGAAGTCCTTTGCTATATTTCGCGCTAGTGTTAGCGGACAAATTCAGGAAAAAGTATTCCGCTAAATCTAGCGCGGAAATTGAATGGGTGTCGAGGTCACGTGACGTGAATTTCCCCGCTAAATTTAGGGGAGAAATATTTCCGCTAAGTTTGACAGGAAAAAATTTCCGTTAAACTTAGCGGGAAACTGAAATGATGATGAGGTCTCGCGACGAAAAGTTCTCCGCTAAATTTAGCGGAAAAATTTTACCGGGAGATTTAGTGGAAATGTTTCCAAAATGCAACCCGCGCAATTACGCAGACGCCGACACCGACACTGAAGCCGACGCCAACGGCGACGGAAACGCCGCTCAAACCGGATGCGGGCGCCTAAGAGCTGTGCTCTGAAACGTAGCGAAAAACATACAGCTAATCGAAGGCTATCTTCTTCAATATATTGCGATTATTTAGTTTTTGTTGGCTGTAAAATTTACTTTTGAGTCTTGAATTCCCATGAGGGTGAATGCTTCTATTGCATCTGGTATAAGTTTGTTCTAGAAGGTATACTAGACAATCCACAAGAAGAGATCAGCTGTATGTTCAATACATCACATCTTCTCAGTCATCGGTATGTGTATAATGTTTTTTATAGACCAGCAGATATAGTACTCTAAAAAAATAATTTTGTACTTGCATTAAAAAGGTATAATAAAAAGTATATACTTGGTTTATATGTGGAGTTAAATAATACTATATTATAATATACTTTGTATGCGATAGTGGCCAAACTGGGTAAAGGACCGCGGCAGAGTTCAACAGACTATTAAACGAAAAGTACACTTAATATGTGCTAAACGTGTTCTTAAGGTGCTTGGAGTATTCCACGGTCTACTTTTTATATATTTGAAGTTTCGTTGGTGTATTGCTCTTTGCCAAGAAACAAAAAAATCACATGAAATTCGCTTTTTATTTGTTGTCACATGGCCAAAAGGGACATGACAAAAGGGAACTCAGGCAGATAGCTCTTCATGAGCAGCCTGACAAAGGACCCATATCCCCATGCAGTTTGTAACAGCATTCTACACATATGTCCTTAATTATGAAAGGAAACAGAGTGCGTCAGAATATCTGGCCTTCATATGGAAGTATGAAATGGTTTCTCTTGTGGTAATAGATATGTGTTTTTATCTTTTGACTTAAGTGTAATGCCAAGGAGTTGTGCTAAAAGTAACCTTCTTCCAAGGAGTGGATATTGAAATGTGCAACTGGACCTGGCACCAAATCCTGCCGCCGAGATTAATATTATCGACATTTGTTAAATACTATGCACTAAATGTATGAAGCATATCAAAATAAACTTACCATAGCATTTGAAAGGAAAAACAGCTGGTCTCCTGTTAAGTTTAACCCAGGAAGCACCTCGTCAGTGTCATTGAACTTTCTGAACGCCTTAAAGTAAAGGGAGAGCAAAGATCGATAAATTAATCTTAAGCTAGATATATTGACTGCACAGCAAGGCTTAATTTAACTCCTCTAACTTTCTTACCAGATACGCCGCTCTTAGGCCAGAATTGTCGGCAATATTTTCACCCTGAGTATTTATTCCGTTTAGCTGAAAAAACAAAAACAAAACACAAACAAATTTACGTTACATTATTGGAAAGAGCGTAAAATACTATAAATAATCGCTCATACTTCCAGAATCAGAATGCACATTTCTCCATAACTTCAATCTATTCGCTTTACCTCGAAAGTGTAAGTACTGATCAACGAGAGCTAGGGTGCACATGAGATGAGTAAGGCAGCGATTTTCCCGAAACATTACTGGCTCACTTTGTCATACTATATTAAATGGTATGTGAATTGAAGAAAGGCATGAGCTACAGGGGAGTCAAGAAGCAGTGGGACATGGATTCACTACTTTACTCTTCCGTTGCTTTTAAATATATCATAAAACTTTCAGTATCTTTTATTTATAATAACGTCACCTCTCATTCTCTCTCTATATATATATCTCGAAACTCTCTTATACATTGAGTATGGTGATCTATGTTCACATTGCTAATGAACTAGACTGTTTCAAGCATGTGCTTGACGAGATTGGGGAAGTGCGGGTTAGTGGTGCAAAAAACACAATCTTGTGAAATGTTCACCACTTTTTACGAGACAATTAATTTAACACACAAACCATCTAAACGTGTCAAGTATTTTTTCAGAACTTTTGTTCCAAGAACGTTAATTATGCAGTTGTTTTCAGGTAAAGGGGAATATTTTTCAACTTGTTCAACTAGTCGAAGATTTTGTGTAATGAAGCGGTTCATCTGAGTGGTGATGTAATCATGGGCGTTGGAATGTAATCTCAAGAGAGAGAGGAAGAAAGAAATCAGTTTCCCTCATAGTTTACGGACCAATAAAGATTGGCTTTTGGGAACATTTGGCCTTGAGGCACTGACATTTTTCCTGTGCTTAAAACATGTGCGGTATTATAAAATAACACCAAGTGTACTTTCGGCTCGATTTTTTTTTGTTATAGTAACTTTCTTTATATATAGTTTTTTAATCAGTGACCACACACAGCTACTTGAATCAAGCTCTGGCTTCTGCCACAAAGCAATGGTTTAGTACAGCACAGGTAGCGTTTTTATTCTTTTGGAGTAACGAGGCGTTTGACCTCGTGTCTCAGCACATTGTTCCCTATTGTAGTTTACTGTCCCAAGACACTAATTGCTGAAGAATATCATATTTCTGAAACCGGGTGGCGAATTTTACCATATAGCAACACTTTTGCTCACAAACTTCATTCATTTTGTTTGTCCTTTTTTTTAAACGGAATGTAATTTAACGATGCGAATGTTTCGATATCAGTGAGCACGAGATCTGCCAGACCATGCAGACCACTCATTGCGCCCTCTTGTTAGTTCAGATTACTGCTTGCCTCTAGTCTACGGCCCTCGTCCCTTGGCCCGGTGTTTACAGTTCAACTTTGAATCACGATTACTTCAGTCTTCACGATGAGGCGTATCAACACCGAAATGACACAACTTATCTGCCGGGTAACCTGTTATTGAAAACTTCCCTTGAAACAACTGGAGCGCCGTCAACGGCAACATCAGCGGCTTCGACGGCACCGTCTGCGAACGCCCTATATATGGCTGTCATCGCTGTCCAGCCTTGAGTGAGCACGGGATCTGCGAGGCCATGCAGACTACTCATTGCGTCTTTTTTCGTTCAGGCTCGTTGAAGACTCGTGTTTAACGCGAAAAAGAAGCAATTTGTGCTTACTGGTGTCTTTGTGCTGACATGGATTTTGTAAAGCTATGTGTGACTGTGCTATGTTGTGGGCCTCCTTAAGGTTTTGGAAGAGGTTGAGTCAACCCCGGTCCGATGAGTGAAGCTGAACTTAAAAAACAAATTGAAATGCATGATATGCTAAAAGTAGCCTGTGAACGCTCTCTCGTAAACGCTGAAACTAAGTTGGAAAGTGTGACGTCGCTTAATGAAGTCAAACAAAGCCAATAGTCAATGAAAACTGCCAGAACTCATGTTATAGAGAGATTGGCTGAGGTCCAAACTAAAACTTCTGCGTGGCGATGCTTAACGAAGTGGTTTGCATGACACGAAGTTTGATTGAAGTTCTTCAAAAAGTTAGCTGGGATCTATGTAGGCACAAACGAAGATCGTTCCCCTCGTGATAATTTAGTTTTCTACAGGATTGCTGATACGCTATCTGAAACCCGGCCACAAACGGACGATACGGTATTAAACTTATTTAGATGATCTCTAAAGCTCCAAGTAACGGATGAAGCGATTGTAGGTACCCACAGAATTGGTACTTACTGTCAGAGTAAGTGCATACCTGTTATGGTAATGTTTGCATCATCGTAACTAAAATAAAATACATGTTACTCTCCAGATCATTGCTAAAATTTAGTCGTGTCAGCATGAGTGAAAATTTTCGCATAGTGCGCGTCACGCAAGTAAAAAGCTAATATAATTTGCGAAAGTAGTAAATGTCGTTTTGAAGCTTAGATACCATAAAATGTACATTAACAATTAATGCTTCATTTACGATCCGGTGATCGATACGACTGTTAAGAATGGTCCCACTACAGCATACGTACTTGCAGACGCACATATTTCTCTCCTTTTAGTAAACCATCAGAGGCGTTGGGATCGGAATCACAAACCGCGAAGCGTAGTGCTTGTGTTGTATTCATGTCAAATGTATCAGTCCTTTTCACTAATATTCGACGCTTTTTTAAAGAAACGAGGTGAGTTGTGTTCAATTGTTGATTTTTTAAAGTCGATGTTATTCTTCTGGCAGAAACTTGGTTTTGTGTGAAGGTGCTTGACTGTGAACTATTTTATGGAGTAATAAAATATAATATTTAGAGAAACGACAGATGGAATTGGAGTGGTGGCAGTGTATTTATTGCAGTCGCAATTCATGTAAAATATTTGTTTTGTAAATGCGACTAGCTCTTTAGAAATAATTTGGATGTGTGTTGGTCCTAACCGCAACAAAGGAATTTTGGGATAGTTTAAGACAAACCCTAGAGACTGGGGAAAGACGAAAGACAACACAACACACCCTAATTCTGCAAGATGCAGGCTTCGTCCCCTTCACGTTTTCCTCTCCTGTGTTGTGTTGTTCTTCGCCTTTCCTCAGACTCGGGGGTTTGTCTACACGTTAAACCTTCACCAGCTCGATCTGTTCGTGGAATTTGTGAGTTTGCTTTAGATCACCATTTAGCTTGTCCACATTCATTAAAGCTCTGCATGACTCATTCAGCACCTCATTTACAAGATTTCCCAGTTCTCCGAATTTCCTCTGGCTGACTTTAATTATCCTTCGATTGTGTGGACAAGGAGTAATCCATCTACGACCACGTATTCATCCGAATGTAATGACTTTCTTAAACTTTGCTTAGAAATTAACTTAATGTCACTGAACCTACGAAAATTACCCCGTCATCAACAAATGTTTTGGATCTTGTATTGTCAAACCATTCATATCTTGTTTCTCCAATTTACATCTACCAGGACTTAGGGATTATTGTTTTAGGCCTTTAAAGTTTAAAGCTTTAGTGCCCAAACCATCCGCTCGCACAAAACTAATTCGAGATTATACGAAAGCTGGCTTTGAGAATATCAAAAATGAACTAGCAACATTTCTAGATAATTTCATGGTGGGGTTCCCACACAGATTAGCTGAAAAAAAGTGGCAGTGGTTTTAAAACAATGTCAAATCACTAACCAATCGTTACATTTCCGTAAGGACAGTTTTTGAGAATTCCCAGTCACCGTGGTTTAATAGCGCCTTCACACGTCTCTCAAATAAAAATAAACGATTATTTAGTGCTGCTAACTTCACAACGTGTAAACAATTAACTTTGCACAAAATATCGCACAGCCGCTGAGGCATGCAAAAAAGACATTGACAATGAAAAGGTTTATTATTTTCACGCGCAAACTACCGAAAATGTTATTAACAAACCCATAAAATTTTGAAATATTATGGAAAAAGATCTAATTCTTCAGTCGTGCTTAAAACTGAGAGCGGCACTAGTATGCTGTTGACAGCGAGTGCTAATGCTTTGAATACAGATTTTGCTAAATCTTTCTCACGTGATGATAGCCAATAATTCCCCGTACTGCGCAGTTCCGAGTTTTTGCGAATGGACCACTCTGCCATATTGTGCTGGAGTTTAACATCATGGTCATAGGTTAACGTTATCTCGTTTTAAAAGAGTGGATTGTATAAATTCTAAATAAAAAAAATACTAACGTAAATTCGTTAATTATACTAGACACACTTTGTCAGCATTCAATGCAAAAGTCTATATTTCATTTAGAGTGGGAAGTATCAAAAGTGGCTCCCATATAGAAAACAGGTGACAAACATTCCCATCTCAATTATCGGGTGATTTTCAATACTAGTGCTTTCTGCAAAATTCTTGATCATATAATATTTTCCTACCTTGTCAGTTTCTTGGAATATATTTTAACCCATTTCAACATGGTTTCAAAAGAGATTTTCATGCGAAACTCAAATTGCATCACTCACTCATGATTGTCATTCAATGTTAAACCTAGGATCCCAGGATGCCTACACATTTTTGGTCTTTGCCAGAGCTTTCGATAACGTCGATCACAACCTTCTCATTCGTAGACTATCGAAACTTATGAGCCACTGAACAAAAAGAAATCAATTTTTTTTTTCAGAAAGTAAACAAACTTTCCTGATAGTTTGAATTACTTTCAACAGTGTGGTTGGGACACGCGTGTCGAAAAGTTCACTTTAAGCAAAAAAATATGTTTTGTGTGTGTAATATTGACGGCGCAAGATTTATTTTAAATTCTCCGCGCAATGTTCTTGACGTCACGAAATGGTCATACACTCTCTCCACATCAACGTGATGGCAAAGCCAATCCACCTCTTCTCCACGCGCCCCAAATTCCGTGAGAGAAAACAAGTGGAAAGGAAATGTCTACCGACTAAATCGCGTCTCCCGCCGTCAATGTTGCTCAATTTTCGTTTTTCGTGTTAAATTTATTCTTTACACGCGTGTCTCAACGATAGGTCGGCATTTTGAGCAGTCCTCAGTCAAA